AGGCAATCACGCAGGCCACTGCGGTTGCCAAGACGAACAGGGCTCTCCGTACGAAGACTACTGCTACGGGTGAATTTCACTACAAAGAGGGAGATCTCGTGGACTATCATCGCCCGACCACCACGAAAGACGACTGGGGTGGATGGAGTGGTCCATACCCGGTCATCCGCAACGAACCTGACCGAGGCCAGGTCATCGTGAAGGTCGGTAGTCGCGAGGTGCGAGTACAGTATCCTGACACACGACACACGCTGTACATCGAAGCACTTATGGTCCGCGAGATAGGATCGGACAATACGGCCCTTCGGACAGTATTGGCCTTTATTGCCGGTCTGCCAGCGGGGAAACCCGCCATGACTTTCGGATATCTACCAGCGAAACAGGGTCGGCTGCAGATGACTGCTGCGAGCCGACTTTCGCCTAAGGTGCACTTGGCTCTTCAGTACCTCATACGCAACTACTTTCGTATTGAAAACGTTGTTGCTGTACGACTTGCCAAGAGCCTGACGAAGTTGCCTGCTGCACCCTATGCAGACAGCTGTACACTAGTGCACTATGATAATGATGTGACCCCTGGTTTTCATTACTATGAAGCTGATGGCACTGCCTTGAACATCTACGACATCACAGGATCTACACACTCACGCATCATCCAGTGTCTTAAATCCAGGAAGCCGCCTGCTGGATTTGACCGAGACCTCACTAAGTTTGAGGAACTCGCTGATGGTCCACCACCAAGCGAGTCACCTCCAGCAGCTGCTCCTGAGCAGCCTCCTGCGGAGAACGATGGTCGGCTCCCGACCATCATAGAAGAAACAGAAGAAGATCTGGATGCCTTTGTCTTGAAGTCGTGGTATGCTGAACTGATGGATGACAGAACACTCCTTGAAGCTGACACAGAAGAAGTCATGCATACAGTTCCCACATACATGACAGACACACAGTGTGTGTTAGTCTCTACGACCTGTGAAGATGTGCAAGGCCACTTGCCGGAGCGGGGTCACCCGCCAGGATACGACATGGACACTTCTTACTACGTTCCTTTATGCTCCACGGATCCGGATAGCAAATATGATCTGGACTCCGATGAGCACGGGAAGTACATCGAGCTCTGCTTCACAGCAGACATGTCCAAAGTCGTCCTGTCCGAGCAGCAACGCCGATTGTTGGATGACAGCAGCGTCACAACCATGCGAGTATACGTCAGTGCTGCCTCCAAACGTGCCGCGGTCGTCAAGGAAGACGATCTACTCACGAAGGCCGACATTCAAGCGAATCCGGTCAAAGTTTCCAAAGCCCTTTACACAGAATTGAAGACTTGGCTTGACAATAAATGCTTTCAGATGACTGACTTGAGCAAAGCGTCTAACATCATGACTTCACGCTACGTATACAAATGGAAGTTTGTCAAGAACGAAAAGGGCGAAATGGAAAGGGCGATCAGGTTACGCTTGGTACTCCGTGGCTTCATGGACCTTGAAGCCTTTGACGTCGAAACCTTCTCTGGCACGGCAAGGAGGTCAAGCCAGAGACTGCTCGCAAGTTCTGCTGCATGCAACAAAGCTTGGATCATCGCTTCCCTGGACATCAACATGGCTTTCTTGAAGGGACTGACCTATAGCGAGCTCGCCGCGGCAACGGGCGAGAAAGAGCGTGTGGTGTGCTTCGCACTACCTCCTGGGTCAGCAGCTGTCCTTCGCACACTGCCAGGCTTTGAGTCATATGACGAATCAAAGCATTGTCTTCGGTGTCTGAAGCCGGGGACGGGCACGAAGGATGCTCCCAGGGCATTCTCGCTGAAGCTCAGGTCCATCACTAGGAGCTTTGGGCTACAGCCTACTTCATACGACGAAGAGTTCGAGATGAGCTCAAACCTCTTGACAGCCAAGCACGTTGATGACATCAATATGACTGGGAAGGAAGATGCTATTGACAAGTATGTCAAGTGTGTTGAAGATACGTTTGGGAAGTGCAAACTGAACAAGCACACATACACAAACTGTGCCGTTCGGTATAACAAGACCGATGATGGGAGCGTCACTCTTGATCAGGACGAATACATCAAACAGCTTCGTCCTATCACACATCCAGAACTCACAGGAGCTGATCCTGAGAGCAAAGCGACAAAGACGATTTCTGATATGTTCGTCAGTCTTCGTGGCGCTCTAGCCTATGCGTTGATCACGCAGGTATGGCTGATGGTCTATGTTGTCTCACTACAACGTATCCAGGAACCGACAAACATCCAGGTACGACGACTAAACGCGGTTACCAGGAAACTACAGGCAGGTCCGAAGAAGATCGTGTATCAAGCTATGACTCCAACAGGAGAAGTTGACCTGCATAGCGATTCTGGCTATCGCCGTCTCAATGGAGATGAAGACGACGAAGTCAAAGGCTATGGTATCCGCGGGGCTAACCTGCTGAGGCGTGGCCACGCGCAAGCGGGGAAACCCGTCGTGCACCTGGTGGACGCATACTGCAAGTCTCATCGACTGCAGGTGCGTTCGAGCTACTCTGCGGAAACATTGGCAGCAGCCCACAACTTGGAAGACTGCTACCCGACCATTGTAACGCTCCACGAGCTACACTCGGGACCATTGACCCCCACACAGTTAAAGAACATATTGGAAATGGGTGGTCTATGTATCAAAGTCACTCTGACTATTGATGCCGAGTCTGTCTTCAAGTCTTTGTCTAGCAAAGATCTGAAGAAGCCCACAGAATGTACTCTGCTTGGGCACATTAGCTGGATCCGCCAGATGATGGAGCGCGGAATCGTTGAAAGCGTTCAATGGTGTGACACGCGGGATATGACTGCCGATGGTCATACCAAAGGTAGTATTGACCGCGCGTTGCTCCTACAAGTAATGGCCGGCCAGCAATCCTTCAAGCACGAGCTGAAGAAACATACACCGTATAGGGCGGGCAGGTCGTCTCAGGACGGCCCTGCCTCCCGAGCTAGCGGGGAAACCCGCGTGCAGGTGCGCTCTAGTAGCGAGGAAACTCGCCGGTAGCGAGGCTACTCGCGCGCCCTTGCCTTGTAGGCAGCCGCTGCTGCTTAGCACTGTTTTTCCGCGTAATGTAGAAGTGCGGTGCCTGCTCGTCTCCTCCCCCTCCGACTTTAAACGGAGAAGGTTAAAGGCGAGGTATAAATCGAGCATGTACCGCTGCCGTGCCTGGCTCAAGCCGGGCCCGGCCAAATATATGACTGTGCCTCACCGAGGCGCACGACTGGTATCTGAGATCGGAAAATACCTTTTCCATTGAAGATGCCTCTTCTATCCTTTACTCCAGATCCCATGCTTCGTCTCGCTCTCTTGCTCATGCGATATGAGCCAAAGCCTGGGATATGGCAACGCTTGAAGCGTAACACATACCTAAGCTTACCAGCATGTTTTCGACTATGTCGGGGACCTCTTGGGCTGTGTTGGGCGCTGCTCAGACCAAAACGTGTATGCAACAAATGTACGTTTTCCCCAGGGGATGCAACGATTTTTTCTTTGGGGCAACCTTCTGGAAGTCTCTTGGGCCGTTTTGGGGGCCTCTTGGGCCGTCTTGCGGCCATCTGGGTCCCTCTTGGGGCGCTCGTGGGACGTCTCGGGGCCCTGTTGGACCGCCTTGGGGGCCTCTTGGCACCGCTGGTGGGCCGTTTGCACGGGTTGGGAGGGATCCTGAAAGACCCAGAGTTCCCAGGTGACCCTGCCAATGAGCTTCCAAAAGGCCCCCCGGACCAGAGATCGGGGGGGTCCTGTTTAGGGGGGTGGATCGCAGGGTTCCGTTCAATCAGACTATGTGAGATACAAATGGAGATACACAGATGCATCTATAGAACAGCCCATGGGTTGCGTGCCTTTGATTGCATCTCGTAGCTCGCACCACATAGTTAGCACCACATGCACTGCTTTCCACGCGTCCCTTCCCACATATCAGACATCAACGTGCGATGACCCACTATTCTGGGTCCGCGCTGGCAGACATTATTTCCGATAGAACGAGCAGAAAGGAACTAGCCACGTTCAAGGCAAGCGGCGATCAGAAGGTTCGACGCAATTCAAGTGGGGGGGAAGCCAGAGGCAGTCACAGGAATCCAGATCAGCGACGAAAGGAAAGGGGGTCGACTGCGCCGACATTTTCGCGCAAGCTTCCCGCGCATGGCCGCGCGCAAGCGCCCTTTTATCCACGCAGTGTGCCACGCTGGCGGCCCGCATAAGCCCCCACCTAATGTCGCCACGTCTTCTCGCCCAAGTCCCGTCTCTTTTCGTCGCTCATATGAAGCTAAGCCGCGACCAGAAAGTGCGACCCACTGGCTTCCAGTGGCGCCCAGGCCAGGCGGCAACCAGAAAGTGCGACTCGCGGGTCTGGATCGGGGGAAGCCATTAGAAGCGAAGCGCTGAGCGGAAAGTGCGACGCACAAACCCAGTTCCCAGGAGCCAAGGTGGGAGCCCCTTCTGTGCAAGCATGGAGGCTGCCCCAGACTAACTGGTCCGTGATCATGCGCCACGTCGAACGCCAGCACGAACCGTGTGTGGGGGCCACCAGTTCCAGCGTGGCCACGCCGAGGGGCGCACCGAGGGGGGGAAGTGAGCGGGTGCGAGCTCTCTCGGAAGGCGGGCGGGGCCTCGGGGCAGGCGTCGAGGGCTTTTCAGAAGCCTGTTGGGCCTGTTGAGCCCTCTGGGGAGGCCCGTCCTGCAGGCCTCCCAGATAGGGTCGGAGTAGATGGCGTCGGAAGATCGCCGCATCGCGCACGCATCGCCGATGCCTCGGCGATGCGGCTCGATGTGGGGCCCAGTTTTCCCCACGCCGACGTCGCGGATGCAGCGCCGACGCATCGCCGAGGCATCGCCGATGCGTCGGCGATGTGTCGGCGAGGCGGCGCGATCCTCCGACACCATTTGCTCGGACCCCATCGGGGAGGGCTCTGCGTCCCCTTCTGCCTCCCCCCCCCTCTGGACGCGCCGTCCAGAAGGGGGGAGGGGCTGCCATCGGCCGGCTGGAAGGTGATGCTCGCCGTGGCCTCGAACGCGGGGCGCCTGCCCGTCAGCTTCCAGGACGAGGCCGACGAGGACCTCCTCGAGGACGCGTGCCTGCCCCTCTCCTCCTCTCCTCCTCTCTTCTCCTCCCTTCTCCTCCTCCTCCTCCTCCTCCTCCTCCTCCTCCTCCTCCGCCTCCTCCGCCCTTCTCCTCCTCCTCCTCCTCCTCCTCCTCCTCTCCTCCTCCTCCTCCTCCTCCTCCTCCTCCTCCTCCTCTCCTCCTCCTCCTCCTCCTCCTCCTCCTCCTCCTCCTCCTCCTCCTCCTCCTCCTCCCCCTCCTCCTCCTCCTCCTCCTCCTCCTCCTCCCCGAGGACGCGTGCCTGCCCTCGCCCCACGCCTCGATCGTGGCCGCCCCTCCCCGGTGCAGCTCGGGGACGTCCACGCCCATGCAGAGCTCGGCGCGGGGCCCGTGCAGATCGTCGAGATCACTGGGGCGACCCGTTTTTGTCGGGGGCGGACAGAACCCCCAACAGTGACACGTCGATTAGTGAATTGTCCGTTTTCGGTTTTCGAGAGGGCGCCGCGGCCGTCATTTTCCAGGCTTGCGCCCGCCAGGTTTGGGCCCGAGGTCGTTTTCACTAAACCACGTTTTACTAAAGGGGGTTCTGTCCATCCCCGATTTTGGGAGGGCGACGGGGGGCACTGGCCCAAGGTGCCCCCAGGATTTCCAGCGGAGCGCCCCTCACGAGGCCCGGGGGGCCCCCGGGTGCTCGCAGAGTGAGCGAAAAGCTGGGGGCACCTTGGGCCAGGGGCACTTTTCTAGCAACCCCCAAGAGGAGGAGGAGGAGGAGGAGGAGGAGGAGGAGGAGGAGGAGGAGGAGGAGGAGGAGGAGGAGGAGGAGGACGAGGACGAGGACGAGGAGGAGGAGGAGGAGGAGAGGAGGAGGAGGAGGAGGAGGAGGAGGAGGAGGAGGAGAGGAGGAGGAAAAGGAGGAGAAGGAGGAGGAGGAGGAGGAGGGAGGAGGGATGAGTGAGGAGTGAGGAGGGAGGAGGGAGGAGCGAGGAGAGAGGAGGGAGGATTGTAAGGCTTCGGGTCTTGTGCACAGACATACCCCCAGGGCTCTCAGCAGACCCCCCGCGAAGTCCAAGCTGGCCTCAACAGGCCCCCCGAGTAGTCCAGGACAGTCTCGACACCCTGACGCCGCCTCCAGCGGAGAATCCTCGGACTATCCGGGGGGGTCGTGTTGAGGCCAGATGGGGATATTCAGTCAAGGGGCCTTCTGATGCCAGCCGGGACTACCTGGGGGGGCTGTCTGTGCGCAGCCCGATACCTTACCGAGAGAAGAGGGATTCCCTGTGCGGCTCGCGCACCGGGGTGGGAGCGGAGACAAAGCGCGGCCGCCAGCGCACTTGGCAATTGACCGTGGGCGCAGTCAGCATGCCGATCGCCGGTAACGTGGCGGAGAGCCTGCTGACCCTGCACTGACGCTCTCCCTGCAGGAGGACGCTCTCCCCGCAGGAGGACGCCAACCATCCACATGCAACAGACCCATCCAGCAGCCCCATCATGGGTCCGAGCCAGGTGGAGATGTCCCTCCGTAAACCAGGCAGGGCCGCCTGCGATCCGCGATCCGATGCTACCGATTCGATTCGCAGGCGGGGTCCGCGATTCCGATTCGATTCGGTTTGGTTCGATTCATCGCCATCGGCCAGAGACAGCCCGAGCCAGGCGCGGCGAGCCGTTTCCGAATCGATTCGGTACCCTTCGCTGGCGGCCCGAGCCGTTTCCGAGCCGATCCGATCTCGCGGCCCGATCCAGCTCAAGCCGGCCGGGCAGGGCGTCCTGCGCAACCCTCGAGGGCCCGCAGGTGGCCTGGCCAGGGCCTCGGCCCTCGCAGCAACTCCGCCACACAAGCATCTGTATATATATATATATATATATATGTAAAAATAAGCATATATATATGTATATATACGTGTATATATATATATATATGTATATGTATATATATATATACTCCGCCATAGGTGCGTGTGTGTATGTATATATATATATATATATAAATATATACATACATATATATAATTACACTGGTCCTGGGCCCCTGAGGAGGGTGGCGGTGTATGGATCACCACTGAGGGCCAGCGACTTGGTGCACCGCCATCATTTCTGAAGATCTATGCACAGTTCGTGGGAGGGTGTCTGTATATAATTAATCTCGTGGCGTAGCAACTGGGCGGTGCGGGGGGGGTAGGCGGAATGCCGGCGGTGGCAGATGTTTGGAGCTTGCTGGGTGGCCAAGCACTGGTCCCGGCCAGCAAGGGGCCCCCTCGTCGCCACGGCTGGACGCGGCCCGACACATTGGTCGGCTTTGACCCAGGGTTCTGATGTTCTGACCTATTTCAGGCTTGACCAGCAGAAAGAATTTCGAACACGAGGAAAGTTGACGAAACTGCAGAGTTTTCACGTGTTGGGCCCTGGGAGGCGATACTCGTTTGAAACTTCGCTAGCGTGTCAGGCAGACACTGTTTTGATACTTTCCTGGGTGCTCGAACTTAGTTCTGGGATGTAGCCCTTAAGATACGATGGGAACAACATAAAACCAGGGCGCGATCGGGGGACAAATTCGGAACGGGCTCTTCACCGACTTTCTTTTCGGGAACCATCCAGCGCAGGCCGCTTCCAACCAAGTTACAGCGATGGTGTTTACTGATCTCTGTCTGCGCTGGCACAAGCTCCCCAAACAGGCCGAACCACGCTCTCGAACCCTGCTTGGCTCGGGGGCAGAAGCACGAGGGCCACGATCAAGACGCCGCGAGATCTTGTCGGCACCGACTCTGATCGTTGTCCAGGACGGTCGTCGCCGATTCGCGAGGGTGATGCGCACGCTGAGGATGATAAAGAACGAGGGCAGCTCCAGCGGCGGAAGCCAGCGGGGGCGGCAGCAAAGGCTTCCCCCCGGTGGGGTGTTGTCATAGGTGTCCCTCCAAGGTGTCCAGAGGATTGCCAGGGAGGCTCAGGAGGTCACCACCCACCAGACCACCCCAACCCAACCCGAAGGCCTCAGTTTGCCCTCCATTTCCAGTGGGGGGGGGGTCGGGGAACATTGAACAAACACATATGGAACCCGTACCCCCCCCAACCCGAAATGCGGGTCTTCGGGTTGGGTTGGGGTGGTCTGGTAGGTAGTCAGGAGGGACAGGTAGGCACAAGCAACAGAAACGTGGATTTCCAGTCGAATCGGGTGGGACATGGGGACGAAGAGGAAGCATCATGAAGTGCAGTAGGAACTGCTATACTTTGTGCAGATGTACGTGTGTCCTCCTGGGCCCCCTTCAAGAGTGCACCCCCAAGGTGTTTTCTGGGCTGACAAGAAGGCCCCGCCGCGGCCTCCAGAGCACCCCCCATGAGGCCCGGAGAGGACCAGGGCGGTTTCTTGCCCACTACCAATTCCTTTCCTCGATGTGAGATTTCCGCCTCTGGCGCCGGGGCGCGCCGAAAGAATCCAGCGATGCGAGCTGAATCGCGAGACCCCCTTTGCTCCCCTCCCCGTCGTCCGACCCGAGGATTGGGGATGCCTTGGGCCAGGGACACCTCTGGCACCCCCCGGTCCAAAAAATGTTGGATTTGGTTTTTTTTTGGTCGGGCTGCGTGTGTGGATAGCGGGCGTCCTCCGGATCCCTCGCTTCCTTGCGTCTGCCAGCGCACACGCCCTGAGGCTGAGGGAAAGGCGGGTGCCTGTACGGTGATGGGGACCAGGAGGGGGGCGCAGAGGAGGAGGACGAGGAGGAGGAGGAGGAGGAGGAGGAGGAGGAGGAGGAAAAGGTTTGGGACAGAGTACTTCTGGCACTCTGGAAGATGCCACAGAGTTTGTTCATTGAAACGGTCTAACGTTACGCGCGCGCTGGGCACATGTTTGTCCATCTCACACCATACTTTCCGTGTAGTGCCGCGACCCCACTATTTCGATCCAATGTTCCAGAGTCCTTTCTTGCAGCGACGCGCAAGTAATCCTCCTGGCACCGACGTGCAAAAAGGTCATCAATATGTATTGTTCCGCGTGCGTTTCAAGCCAGATTGCTGCCCCAAGCTCATAATTTTTTCAACGGGGCGAACGTTCGAGGCACAGGCGCCCGTGTGCAAGTTCCTGACATCCAATGGGACCGAGCGTTGCGACAGCAGCTACGTCAATCCGCACCACCGGTGGTGTTTTTGTGGATGCTCGCACGGTCAAAGCGAACAAATGAAGCCCAAACGCGTAACATGTTTGTCTACTGCCCTGGTTGCCGCCGTGTACCACGTGGTCGTCCGCTCAGCAACCCCAGCGAAACGAAAAAGGGCAATGAGACTAGTGCTGGCAATACCTTAATTGCAGGCCGCGCGACAGCCACTCGCACAGAAGCAGTGACAATCGACTGAAGTCGATACTTGTTTCGGGAACCACCGACGGGCGTCAAAGAGTTGAAGGCGGTCAAAGCTATGAACCACGACAGGTTGGTCAAATTGGCCAAGTTTGCACTGGTTGCTAAAATCATACAGGCCACCACGGAGGCGGGCAGTGCCCAACTGCATGGATTGTGTGAGGCCCAAGATCGAGTGATTGACCTCATGAGAGACACCAAGGAGAAATTCAAGGGTCTGACCGAGGAGGAGAGAGGCAGGCGATGAGTTCAAGCGCATTCGCAACACCATTTCAGTGTTCGAGGCGTGGGCAGGGATTCAAGAGGATGATGGCATAGTCGATGGGTCGAAGCCGATTGGTGAAGGTGGTGCTGCGGGTGCTGCGCGCATGGGTCGCCAGGTCCACACTCCGCGCAGGGTTCCGGCTCACCCAACGAGAGCTGCCCCTGTGGTAGATTCGACGGCAGCGCCCACAGCTACCTACATGGCGGTGCCTCTTCCACCTCCACCACCAGTGCCATCGCTCCAGACGCCTCAGATGTACGCGAATCCCAACGTGCAGCCCCAGTCGCCGCCACCGGATCAGGTCAGACACGTGGTCCAGAAGATGAGCGATATGATCAGCATCCAAGTGGGGCCATCGGACGGAAGAGAAAAGTGTATGTCCAAGCTCAAGCTCAAAATGTGGGGTTTACTGCCGCGGCTCTTCTCCAGCAGCACGAGCTCCCACAGCCTGCTCAGGCGGGAATGTCGACGGCGGCAGCGGCAGCAGCAGTGGACTCTCCAGTGTCGAAGAGGCCGCCTACTACGGTTCGCAGACTCGCCGTTCCCGTACCCACCTGGACAACCTTGGAACGCCGCTGGCGCATGGAACGCACCCGGCACCACCGCCAGCTGGATCGCCGCTGCCACCAACATCACCAGCGCCAGGTGCAAGGACAGGAAAGAGCGAGGAGATCCCAGTAACGCAGGGGGTAGATGGCGTCACCTCACCACACAGCCGATGTGGCAGACCCAGGACGACCAAAGTCCGAAGCCCTGGAGACCGAGTCCGTTTTCCTGGGGGCATTGTGAATGGCGACCATTCGAGGCTGAGGGCCAAGACCGATGTCCCTCCGCTGGCGCGGTTCCTAGATCTTACATGTTTTGCCGCTCGAATTCCTGGGCCGCTTTCTGGGCCTCGACGAGTTTGCCGCGCGGCTCGTGCAAGTTCTCATCGCCAGATAACCAGCGATGGCCATGCCGATTGGCGAAGTCCATTCTGCCTTCACGGAGCACCCAGCCGAGCGGGTCCATATTTCGGTGGCTGCGCGACTTCCAGTGGAGGAGCGCCTCGAGGTGGCGCTTGCGCAGGGAGGGCGGCAAAGCGTTGTCTTCAAGGCGCTGGGCGCGCCCCCCTACGCGACCGCCGCCGAGCCGAGCCAGCGCCCCGCGGGGCGGCCCAGGCCGAGTTTTTCGAGCACAGGCTCCGGCTGTCAAACGCGCGCAAAATATGTTGATTCAAGTCGAACTGGGCCAAGCCACAAGTAGTCAGGGAACGCAATGACATGCCGAATGTGTTCGGGTTCATCGCCCCCTCCGCTTTCGACGTTGAAAATATGATGCGCGGCCCCGAGTTAGGCGAGGCTCCCGGAAAGGTGTAACTCCCGGATGACTTCGAGTTACGCCCCAACAGTTAGCTTCCTTCCCACCTGCCCTGCCGGCCAAAGTCTGTGCTTCTAGTCGCGAACCGCTGCGCTTCAAGCGCGGCGAGGTGTCTTTCCTTTGCGAAGAACAGGAAGCCATCTCTTCCCGCCCCTTCGGCTCGCAACCAAAGCGACGTACTATTGACCAGCGCGGCGTGCAATGCGCATCAAAGGCATGTTCGCTCTCGTGGCCCTCTGCTTTCTCGGCGGGGCCTTCCTGCGCGTCCGACGTGGCGGAGCTGGAGCGCGTGGCCCCAGCGCGATCTGTCTAGGGGCTCGCCTCTTTATCTGCGCGTTGAGCTCCAAGAATTTCCCGGCCTTCGCTCCGCGCCTGGGCCCAGCGCGATCTGTTTACAGCAATATCCGTCAGCTAACGTTGCCACTCGCTGGGGAGGAGAGCCAGCCGGCTCGCGCGCTCGACGCCGCGGACCCCCCTGGTTCATATGGAAGGCGCGAAGGCCCAGTTGCAAGTCGGAGTGCCCCCCAGGGCTAGAACCCTAACGACCCCGTGAACATCTCATCCAGTTTGTCCAACAGACACCAAGGGGGCCCTCCTGGAAGGTGCGATCTGCGATCGGTGTTGTCGCGCCCACGGTGGGTTCCAGGCCTGGCGCGTCTTGAGATTCAGGAGGCCGTGCTGGCCGGTGGGCTAGCTGCGCGAGAGGCTCTCGCCTCTTCCGATTTACTGGGGTCATGACAAGAGCGACGCGTCATTGCTAGACGTCTTAACAGTTCTAGCCCCAGTTGTCCGCGCCGTTGAGGCCCCCAGGAATGCATTGTCACTCTTCGAGATCATTTGATTTGCTGCCTGTCGCTCGAGGCTGAAACCCAGCGCGCTATCTGCCAGATTTCACGCTGTGCTTTTGCGGGGCTTGCGCCAAAAAAGATTCTCGCGATGCCGCGGGGACGAGCTACTTCCAAGTGCGCCCGCCCAAGCGGGGGTTTACCTTTCCAGTTGGTAAGATTTACGCATCTCGCGTTCGCTAGTTGATGTTGGAGGCCCCCTGGAGCCCGAAATTATGGCGCGATGTTCTAAGGCCCCAAGGCCAAGGGCCCTTGAAACCACTTCATACCACAGTCACTCCGAGATTAGCTTCGAGCGATGGCGGATGCATCGGAGGCCCTCAGCGCGCCCGTCCTCTTGCGCGGCAGCCCCGCCTGGACCGAGCTAGCGACGACGCATGGGGGGCATTTACAGACAGCAAATGCTGCTGCATGCCGGACAGACTTGGATCTCCTACTTTCCGAGCAACCCCCAGAGCGCATTCGCCGGCAGCGGATGTGCCTTTGCAAGTGGAGCGCGCTCCCATTCATGTTGCCGCGTGTAATACGAAACTTCGGTTTGCGCCCCGAGTTGCATTCGTTGCTGCCCCTTTTGCCCACGCCACGTCCTGTTTCGTTTGGGGCTTTCCGATTGGCTTGGCGAGGCTGGTCTGCGAAGCAGTTCGCTGTTTCTCTGTTCGTGAGGACTCGCGTGAACGGTTAGGGCGTGAGAGTGGAGCCCCGTGCGTTGCTCTCGCGCCTGGCCTCTGCATTCTCACGCGTTCCCCCTGTCTTTCCTTGACTGGGCGAATCTTGCAACCTGGCGACGCGAACTGATCGAGATTGCGACGGGTCGCTCTTGGAAGCTGCGGCTTTGGCCGGGGGCCTTCGAATTCTTTGCAATCAGCGCGGGCACGTTGCGAAGTGCGCCCAGCGATCGCAAGCGCGCGCGGCGCGTAGGTCGGGCGCGCGAATGTTTTTGTTTGATTTGCCTTTCTGGGATTTCGGGAAGACGCGCAGGCTCGTGGATCACGCGGGGCAATTACTTAGTTTGCCGCCGAACGTGGGCGGGAATTGCCCCTCAGACCCTCCCAGGACGAGCTCGAGGCGGCCCGCTTGGAGACCGCGCGGAGGACGGCGGCCAACCGTGCCAAAGGGTGCCCCAGCCAGCATGCAGGGACACCGTCTTGACATTGCCACGGACCACCTATTGCTATAAATGTTTTGTTCGTGAGGATGCGGCGAAGGAAGCTGGAGTTTTCCCTCCAGTGGCCCCTCCTCTTCCCTTCTGCGAGGCCATGCGATGGGCTCTCACCGGGTCCCCTGTGAGACCCATCGTGTATCTTGGCACTCGGAGCATCGGATACCTAGGGGCCAACGACATTACACGGGGGCTCTCCTGGACCAGTTTCCTTCCAGGCTGTTTGTCCTTGGTGTCGACGCCGTGAATCATTCCACCTTTGGGGGTCCCACCTCCTCGGTTGCGACGCACTTGTGGTGGGAAATATGAAGGTCTGGGTGCGTTGACGCGGTGCTCATGGGCCCCGAGTCGCGGTCGGTTGCGAGACACCTTCTTACTAATGTTCGAAAGGGCATTATTGGGGAGATCCGTGACCTCTTGAGGCCATCTTGAAGAAGTCACCAGGCACCTTGGAGACATCTTGGAGGCCATCTTAGATGTCTGAAGTCATACGTACTTGTTCATCTTGATCTCTCCTAGGCCGTCTTAGAGCCATTCAGGGTCAATTGAACCTCTGGAACTTCGCCGCCGCCTCCCCCGTCCCGACCCAGGGGTCGGGGGTAGGGGCAGGGCCAAGCTGCCGCAAGCAGCAAACCGTTTCGCTCACCCCCACCCGCCCTCCCAACACATAAGTAGCACCCGAGTCTCAGTGCGCTCAGCTGTCGCCATGGGATGGACCGCCACCGGGGACTAAAACAGTACAGACGCCAGGTGCGCGACGCTGGCGCGGTGCGCCACGCGCGCTCCGCGCACCAGCTGCGCCAGGCGCTCCAGGGGCCCAAGCGTGCGAGGCGCGCCTCGTGCGCCAGATGCGTCACGTGCTCCACATGCGCCACGTGTGTCACGTGCTCCACCCGCGCCAGATGCGCCAATGCACGTGACAGCACACATCGAGATACATGCCGGTCCCCAGGCCGGAAATCGATATGAACTCGCGAGGGGGTGGCCACTATGGTGTGTGGTATGAGCGCCTGCAGTCGCTTTGCATTTTGCATTGGCTTTTGGCTTGGGTGGTGTGCCCGCGCGCACCAGACAGTATGAAGGCCCTCCCCCGCTATCCTTCACATAAAGGTATCCAAAGTCATCGCGCGGTGCCCGCGCAAGATCGAGCATTTCGCAGCATTGTATAATTTGTATGGCTTTTGGGCAGTGATGGGATGGGGAGGGTGTTCGCATTGTCCCTTGTTTGTCTCGGGTCGGGTGGGAGAGAGAGAGAGAGAGAGAGAAAAAGAAAGAAAGAGAGAGAGAGGGAGAGAAAGAAAGAAAGAAAGCAAGAAACAAATGATATTTCCTTTTCCGAAGGGGTAGGGGGATTCAAAGAGGATGAGCCTCGAACCACTTACGCCAAAGAGGACTGGTTTGATCAGAAGGAGGAGACAGGTCAGGAAGAGGAGGGGGTGAGGGATGGCGGGACGTAGGGGAGACGGGTCTGGAAATGGAGAGGAAAAGGCAGAGAGAAAGTGACAGAGGGACGGATATGGAACGAGGGAACGACAGGAAAGGATATGAGCAAGAGAGGAACGGGAGGGTAGTATCATAGATAGGGCGCAACGGGGAGTGGGAAAGGAGAGGTAATGAGAGGAAACGATGGAAAGGAGAGAAGAGGAACGGATGGGAAGTCATCCGATCGTTGTCCCCTTGCTTGCCTGTGCCCTTGAATTCAAGCGGTGGTAATTGATTGGTCTCTGCATTGCCCAGTGCGTTAAAGACGCCAGCGGCCGTAGGCGGCAGAGCTGCAGTTTGGAATGTGGTTCCGTTCTAATTCGTTCTCCGACAGCTCTTGGCAATCATGGAAGATGTTGGATGAGTCATGTCCGTGAGCCTTACATTGTGGGAACGGGCGGCAGCAGTTTGCGCGTTCACAAGGAGCTCAATTTCGAAGTGACCTTGAATCAATTGCGGAATGAATGTGGAGCCTTATCACGATTTCCCATTGTAGTGGCTTGCCTCTGTCCCACGTATGTGTGCATTTAGGTGTTTCATCGAGGCGCCAATGTGTACCATGTGGGCACATTGCGCATGACACACATTCGACATGCATGCCACATTGGTATGCTATATCTGTGGGGATGCGTAGTATCGGCATGCATGGCTCCAGTGGTAACCACAGCACACCAGTCCCGAGAGCATGCGATGCAAACAGCGTGCCTCCTTTATGTTGTCCTGTATTGTTATCCCGCGTGTGTGACATATTGTACTTATGTACATGTGTGTACACGTGTATACGTATTTTGCCTATATGTATCAAGGCACTGCACATCGATATTTTGCAATCGCTGCGCAACAAGACCGGCTCAAGCGTGAAGAACGTGGGACGCACTCGTGAAACCGATTTGGCACACTTTCGAAGCAGGTGCTAATCGGTGAGGCATGGACTGAACCTCGAGCACATCATGACCTACGGAGCGCGAGGACACCACAGAGGCCGCTACGGGAACGGGAGCCTCCGAAGTCTCCAGCGGCGGGCTCTCGCCAGACTCGCCCGAGCATCACGGTGCGCTCGCCATGGTGTTGCATCAGCGATTGCTCTAGGCTGCGCGATCGCGGCATCGCGCCGCCCAGTACTAGCCCGCAGCGCACAGATCCAACGTCGAAGCACGGACTCGCAAGGAGCAGGCAATCTGCACCAGGAGTCGGGGGTACACCAGGGTCCTCCATCCTCCTCCCTCCTCGTCCTCTTCCTCCTCCTCCTCCTCCTCCTCGTCCTCGTCCTCTTCCTCCTCCTCCTCCTCCTCCTCCTCCTCCTCCTCCTCCTCCTCCTCCTCCTCCTCCTCCTAGGGCGACGCCGCAGCGCATGCGACCCTGCAGTGGTGCGCTTACGTACTGCCTCCGTGACAGCAGCGCGGGATCCACGGCGGCAGCGCGCGGGGACCCAGGGAGGTCGCGCGAGCCTCGCGCGGAATGCCCTCGGACCCTCACCGGGCATGCTCGGGGCCATCTCGGGGCACGCAGGTCGGGAGCGGAAAAGAGGGGGGTGATGACTAGGGGGGGGTGGATTTCATGGCGCGGGCCATGATTTTTCCTCAGATTTCATGGCGCCTCTTCTTATTTGATTACGTCCCAGGCCCCCCCGCTGGGCCGCGCACATGCCGCCGGTCATGATTTGCACCCCCCCCTCTTGGACACCCCCTCTTGGCCGCTCCCGAGCAGGGACAGCCCGCGGCGCCCCGACGGCGTCCGAGCAGTATGCTGGTGGTGTCCGGGTGCTGTTGCGATGGTCAGCTGGTGTGGGCGGTGAACGACGTTGTCGACATCGACGTGGTTTGGGATATGCTTCGATCAGGAAAACATTCGGGGGTGGGTGGGCTCACGGGGATGTGTGTCGACCCTCAATCGCCCCTGGATCGCCGATAGGGGCCCGATAGCCCACACCGCCCAGAAGCGTGCGGATTCGTGATCGGGGGCGTATCGCCGAATTGTCGGCGTCGCATCGTCGATTCAGGCTCGATGTTTCCCCCCTGAGCCCGTAATGGAGGATGACGATTAATAAATGACCAGGGGTCGTGTTCACGCGGCGGCGCCCGGGATGACGATTAGAAAAAACCAGCCGCGGGCTGGAAAACTATTCTTTTTAATCGTTCTCCTCCAGTCCAAAACTTGTGCAGAAATACCAGAAAACTATGTTTTAAATCGTTCTCTCCTATTTTTTCATGAATCGTCATCCCGCATTAACTCCCTTACCCCAGACATGCGACGTCTTGTTCCCAACCATCCTTTGTTGAGCTGGGTCCTCGTTTTGACTCAGAAGCGCTCAGCTTCCCTCCTCCCCCCTCCCCCCTCCTCCCCCCTCGTCCCATCCTTGTCTCTGCCCTCCGCACGTCCGCATCGGCACACCCCTCACACGCTTCGTGGCTCCATGGGGAGCTCCAGCTACGGACCAAATGTTCTGGTCCGCATGGCGTCGGCGCTGCATTTCGGCACACCTCATCACACGCTTCGTGGTCCCATGGGGTGGGGGGCTCCACCAAAGGCTCAAGTGACAGAGTCCGCATGGCCGTGGTGGTTCCTGTCAGCGCACCCCTCGCGCGTGTCGTGTCCCCACGAAGAGCTCCAGCGAAGGCTCATCGTTGGAATCAACTCTCCCTCCTAGCTCCTTCTTCATGGGTCCCTGCAGAGAGTCGTTTCCACTGAGGAAGGCGCCCGGTCAGGGGGACAGCCGTTCGAACATCCTGAAGCGCTTCAAGACACCATGGTCGGGACTCCAGCGCCACGACGGGTCAACCTGACTGTTTCGTCTTGATGCGCCCTGGCACTCCTGAGTCGCTCTAAATCAAGGGCAGAAAAAAACGCCCCTACCCTGGTTTACGAGGCGCTGTGCTCTGAAACTCCTGTGGGCTGACAGGGGAAACCCTGCGTGATGTGCCGCGTCCTGGCGGTTCTAGGCTTTGGGGGTTCCCAAGAGGTTTACAGACCACGCACTTGTAATCCAGGGTAGGGCCGTTTTTTCATCCCTCAACTAAAACACCATTTCTGGTACGTTAACCAGGGGGAAGGCAGAAGGGGGCGGGCCTCTTCAGAATGCTCCTAAAGGCCTCGGGCCTTCTGGGGAGCTTCCCGAGGCTTCTTCCAAACCCCGCCGCGGTCTGAGAAGTTTGCTAAGCCTTAGTTCTTTACGCTTCGCGTATCCCCACCAGCCCATCTCACAACAGCAACTCTTGCGAAGCATGCCGAGAGTCGTGTTTTTCAGGCGTGTTTCCGCCTGCCCCCGCATATCTCCCCTGTTCCTCCTTCCCCCCGCCTCCTTGTACACCCTCCTTGTGGTGGGAGCGGGAGAGGGACGAGGCGGAGGAGGAGGGAGAGAAAGCGCTCCTCGTGGTCGGGCCTTCTGAGGAGCTTCCCGAGGCTTCTTCCAAACCCCGCCGCTGTCTGAGAAGTTTGCTAAGCCTTAATTCCCCATGCCGCATAGCGCTACTAAGAAGGCCAGAGGGCTTCCCAGAAGTGCCTTCAGAGAAGGCCTGCCGCTTCTCGCTTCCCCCCTGGGCATGCCACCGATTGTTGGTGTCCGGGCTATGTCGCTACTGTTCGTTGATATTGTCCTAGTGGTTCTCTGGTAGTTTATGGAATTAGCCTCAGCGAAGTTCCGACAGTTTGACGGTGATGCACCGAAGGTTTCCCAGCGGTTGGATGATGGTTGGTGTTCCCTTGGTGCCTCGATGGGTTATCCATGGTGTGCCGGTGGTGACCAGGTGGCTCGTTGGTAGTGTGAATATGTTGTCTTGGTGGTTCGTTCATGGTGTCCAAGTGATTCGTTGATGTGGCGTCCGTTGTGGGCCAATGGTTCCCTGGCTCTGTTCAGACATCTAGTCGATTCCATACCGATTGTTTGTAGATTGCAAGCTGATGCTTTCCCGATGGTGCCCCGATTGTGTGATTATGGGTTGTTGCCCTCCCGGTTGCGTCCCAATGGTTCGCCTGTTTTTCGATGGTGTCCCGATGGCGTCTTGATGGCGGGGCGGTGATGCTTCGATCGGGTAGTCCGACTTTAGCCTTGATCACCAGAAAGAATTTCGAGCACCAGAAAAAAGTACCGAAACTTGAGGGTTTTCACGTGTTGGGTCCTGGGAGACATTGTTTCGACACTGTTTCGATTCTCTTTCGACACTGTTCCGCGTGCTCGAAATTATTTCTGGGATGTGGTCCTTAAGTACGATGGGCCCAACATAATAGTAGTGTTGTCTCGAAGCAAGCGCGAATTCGTTGTGCACGAATCGTGGGTCCAAGGTGAACCGAGTAGTACTGCAGTGAGATGCTAGCTGGGTGTTGAATCGAGTAGGTGGCCCCTTAGTGGGCCCTGGAAACGACAGGGCCGTTTTTTTACCGGTTCCGTTTTGCCGTTTTTTTGCCGGTTCCGACGCCGTTTTTTTGCCGGTTCCGTCGCCGCTTTTTGACCGGTTCCGGATCTGGTTCCAATCCTGGAGCTGTTTTTTTGCCGTTTCCAGTCGCCGTTTTTTTGCCGTTTCCATTTTCAAGGGATATTTTTTTGGAAGCGGTGAAAAATCGGCCCTGCCGTTTCCGGGGCCCACACAGGGTGGCCCTACTTTAACCAATGAAGCGTGGCCCAATTGTAGAACAAGTTTGGGCCAAGTCCACCGTCGGAGTTGATGTCGCACGCATGGTAGCTGTGAAGAACATCTGGTCCACGTCTGAAGCAAGCGTGAAGCATGTCTCTGTCGAACTTGAGGCTGGTTATGTCCACATGGTGGGCTACGTATGGATCGAACGTGGATCGCTTACAAATCAATTGCGAAGCAAGCGCGCTTCGAAGAAGCTGTGCTACTGCGTCGTGGTCAAAGGTCGTCCTATCTTGAAAGGTTGGTTAAATGAGGGTCCGGGTATGCGGGCGCTCAGTTGGACGGACGGTCGCCCCGTTAGGGGCGCGGAGCTCGGTACATTGTGATTGGAGATATGCTCCGCCCGTGGGGCGGTGGGCAACCTGGGCTCCGCATCCTCAAGCTAATTCTCACTCAGCTTCATGGGCTTTCTGTGCAACGCGGATAAGTGTCCAGGATTTGTTTGTACAAAAAACAAGGTAATCCCATAGTAAAACAGAGGATGCAGACACTGGTGGCCGTGTGAGGACAATAGTGGAACGAGCGTTTCGCGCAGGGTTTCGCGTTAACAACGAGAAGTACCAGGGCGCAAGTTTGGTGCATACCATGTGCAACTAAGCGTATCGCGTGTGGGACATCCACTCAAAAACGAAGCGCACCAGGGCTTCGAGGAGATGTGCAAGTGATTTGATGAGGATGAGTGCGATGCTCGCGATGTTTCTGACCCGTTCCAGCGATAGCCAGGGCGCATCCTTGTTGCGGATGTGGAAGCATCTTGGCCTCAATCAGGTGGCGTAACTTTCTCCACGCCCACCTGCACGAATTGGCCAAAGAGCGTGCGGAGTTTTACGGCGAAGCTTGTTTCACAGGGCGCCGAAGTTGATTGGGACTCGCGTGACTCTCCTTGCCCTGGATGCCCGATGCGCTG